CCCTTCCCCCCCCCCCCATTTCTCTTCACCTCGTGTAGTTCTAACGAACGATGTGAGAAATGGCGGGGAAATGCATGGATTAAATAGGCCTAAATTTTGGAGGTGGGGCTGAATTTCACCTCATGCCTAGAAATCATGCTGGGCCTTCCTATTGGTGGAGGCCGTATTGTTGGAGAAACACGGTATGTAAAGGGAGATGTGATAGAGGGATGACGTGTTTTCACTGCTTCTTCATGACTAACTAAGCAATGGTTTAGCAAGGAAGACACGTTAGATTTGAAATGGCCCATTACTTTTTAGTGAGGCTTATTTTTAAATAGCCTCACAAATGGGCAGAATCTGGCAGATATGGGCAGAATTTGGAAACTAAGACGGGCAGATCTGATTAGTACCTGGATATACGGTACCACAATCAGTTGGAAAATTTAAAAAAAAATCCTACCATACTCTTCTCAAAAAAAAAAAAAAAAAAGCATGTAGACATTAAGAGTAGAATTTAACTTGAGACTTTACATCCAGCATATATATAAATGATTGCTGACTTAATATTTTCATATAACATTTTGATGAGGATTCAAGGTACTACAATCTGTATATCATTTTTAAAAGCAGACTTGTAAGGAAGGCCTCCTTACACATGGGGAAAGCAATGTAAGGGATGGAGCTGATTTGCCTTTAACTTGTCATTAAACTGAGATTTTGACTGTTTCATATCTGCGTTCTCTGTTTTATCATATTGCCGAACAGTATGACCTATGATCCTTCAGTTTATTTAACATTTTTCTAAATAGGACAGTGTACAGGTAGTCCTTGACTTACAACCACAACTGAGCCCAAAATTTTTGTTGATAAGCAAGAGAGTTGTTAAGTGAGTTTTTCCTCATTTTACAACCTTCCTTGCCACAGTTAAGTGAGTTGCTGCAGTTGTGAAGTTAGTAACGCAACTATGAGGTGAATCAGGCTTCCCTATTGACTTTGCTTGTCAGAAAAGGTCACAAAAGGGGATCCCATGATCCCATGACACTGCACCTGTCATAGATATGAACCAGTTGCCAAGCATCTGAATTTTGATCACGCGGTCACTGGGATGCTGCAAACGGTTGCAAGTGTGAAAAATGGTCATTAGGCACTTTTTTCAGTGCCCTTATAACTTCAAATGTTCACCAAATGAATAGCAGCAAGTTGAGGATTACCTGAGATTTCAAAACTTCTTTAGATTTTGAATATACTGTTGTGGCCTGTCGGTCACTGGTGCATCCAGCAGCCGAATCAGAGGAGGCGGCATGGGATTCAGGGTCAGCATCAAGGCAACCCGGAAGCTCCGAGGGGGAATGGGGCTGGCAGAGAGAGAGAGAGAGAGAGAGAGAGAGAGAGAGAGACAAAGGCGGAGCCTGGGCCGTTCGTCAGCCCTCAGATGGAGAGTCAACAGCCCCAGGTCTGGAGGTGACTGATGAGGAAGAGGAGGAACAGCTGGGTCCAGTGCCTGATGCACAACTTCTCAGAAGGCAGAGGAGAGGAGAGCAGTGGAAATCTATGGGCCGGTCCTTGGGAAGGAAGAGCCACCACTGCTAGTGAGGCCCCACCCTACTCTGGGGATAAAAGGCAAGGGTGGAGATGAAGAGGTGTGGCAGACAACTATTCATCTTCTGACAGGCCAGACTTGTTAGCCTGCGTTAAGAGAGAAACTTTTTGCCAAGGCTGCCAGCGCTCCCAATAAAGGAATCTTTTGAGTTCACTTCAGAGGGCTTGTCGTGTTTGGGGATCTGGGTCAAAACATAAACTTGAGAATCTATGGAGGTTCTAGAGCAGTGTCTCTCAGCCTCAGCAACTTTAAGATGCATGGATTTCAAATCCCAGTATTTTTCTGCCATAAAAACTTATTTAATCGCCTTGGTAGCCCTGCAACACATTACAACGCAGAATAATCAGGAATTGAAGTCCAGACATTTTCAAGTTGCTGAATCTTCCAGAGATTTATACAGAAAACCACAAATACGCAAATCATTTTGTGTCACTATTAACAGATGCAAAAGCCAATCAGTCTGTTAATTAGCACCCCAACGCTCGATACTGACGAATTTAAGATTTCATTTATGGAGCCATGATGGGGCTAACTGCTTTTCATTAGGGGGGCTTTCTTAATTGACCCTCATTACTTACTGAAATTACTTTCCAAACCTGGTCAAAGAAGAGGAATTTTCTTTTTCTTTTTTCTTTTTTAAACTCTCTGGCACGCATAAACTTGCTAATTAGGAAAAGGTTTACAGTTTTGATCATTATTTTACCCTCATTCCCCCATCAAACGAATCTTGTGGAAAAACATTTTTAATTGTTATCTAATTGGGCTACTTCAAAAGCTTTAATGTAAATGGTAGGATAGTATATCATCAAGAAGAGATTCCCTGAAGTTTGGGGTTATTTATTTATTTTCCTGTCAAAGAGATAACCTTGGCCTATTACACAAAGCCCTTGACTCACATCTACAATTGAGCCCAAGATTTTAATCATAAGTCTTTGCGGTCATAAGCTGAATTGCTATTTCACCAGACTCAATTTTACAACTATTTTTATGACAATCATTAAGTGAGTCCTGCGGTTGTTAAGCAAATCGCATGGACATAAGCCCGAATTCAGCTTATCCAATGGGTATTTTTGGCCATGTGACTGTGGGATGCTGCAATGCGACCCCAAATGTGGCCACTTGACCATAAAAGTGGTATAATGGCAGTTGTAACTTTGAGGCTGGGTCATAAGTATACCTGTTGTAACTTCAGATAGTCGTTAAGCAACCAGTCATAAGTCGAAGATTACCTATAGAGTTTAAAATTTTATTTAAATTTTACCTGCAATGTTTCTTGGTGCTCAACCCAATTCTATGCAATTCGGAAGTAGTTTAGTTTAGCTGATCTGTGTGTGACTTTCCCTCAGGTATGTTGGGAAACAGGCCCAAAATAAAGGTTATTTGCAAATTATTGTGTAGAAGTAGCATCCTGGCGTTTCCCATTGCAATGGTCATGTAGTGAAGGATCCATTGTGAGGTCATGGCAAAATGTAAGGGGTGGGGGGCATCTCACAGCCAGATGACGCAGAGGATCCCTTGGTGAGCAAGTTAACAATATTTACTTTTGTTTGACTTAGTCAGTGGCACCTCAAAGCTTGATCTGAACACATCATCAGAGTGTCTTAGCTTAGAAATGAGCAGGGTCTGAATACAGGTAGTCCTCAAACTTACGACCACAATTGAGCCCAACATCTCTGTGGTTCAGTGAGACATTGGTTAAGTGAGTTTTACCCCATCTTATGACATTTCTTGCCACGGTTGTTAAGTGAAACACGGCAGTTGTAAAGTTAGCATCATGGTTGTTAAGTAGATCTGGTTTCTGTTTGTCAGAAGGTCACAAAAGTGAATCACATGACTTTGGGACACAGCAATTATGATAAATATGTCAAGCCTCTGAATTTTGATCACATGACCATGGGGATGCTGCAAAAGAGTCAGAAGTCACTTTTTCCAGTGCTGTTATAACTTTGAACGGTCACTAAATGAACTGTGGTAAGTCGGGGACTACCTGTATTCTTCCCTTGCAGAGCTTTTCCAAAGTCCAAAAGAGAGAGAGAGAGAGGGAGGGAGGGGGAGGTGTCATTTTCCGGATAAAATGTGGGTTCTCTACATCTTTTAATTTGCTTAAAGAATGAAATGAATGGTTGCTTTTAGATCTATCCCTTGTGATGCTGAACTTCAAGAACTAATGCACCAGATCGACATAATGGTAAACAAGAAGAAACTGGAATGGGAAAAGAAGATGCAGGGATTGGAAGCAAGGATGACTATCCGGGATCAAGAGTTAGCAAGTGCCCAAAGCAAATTAGATCAGAAAGGTCAAGAGGTAATGTTGCATCATTTATTTTGTGAATATTGCATTGAACGGGAGGGGCTATGCAATCATATGCCTTGGATGAGCTCAATAAAGATAAACGGAAGCCAGCCTGGTTAATTGTGGAATGGAAGTCCAAAGGAAGTCCCGGGCTTGTAAAATAAGTAGATTGGGTGGTCATTTTGCCTTGTTATCCAATCTCTTCTTAAAAAGTTCCAGTGTTGGAGCATCCACAACTTTTGGAGACAAGTCCTTCCATTGATTAATTGTTCTCACTGTCAGGAAATTTCTCCCTACTTCTAGGCTGCTTCTCTCCTTGATTAGTTTCCATCCACTGTTTCTTGTTCTGCCCTCAGGTGTTTTGGATAATCGGTCCACCCCCTCTTCTTTGTGGCAGCCCCTGAGATATTGCTATCATGTCAGCCCTAGTTCTTCTTCTCCTTAAGCTAGACCAGTGGTGGCTAACCTTTTTTGGGCTCCCGTGCCAAAAATTACGCTCGCTTGCTCGCATGCCAGCACCCAGAAGGCAATGCGCATGCCCCCCCATGCTCCCTGCACATGCATGCACAACCCCTCCTGTGCACGGCGCACATCTGCACATGCGTGCATTACCCCCCACGCGCCATGTGGCTCTGCGCATGCATGCGCAATCCCCGCATGTGCCACGCGCCTCTGCGCATGCAGGCGCATCTCCCCCGCTCCCCACGCATGCGTGCCGGATATCCAACAATCAGCTGGCGGGCGGTGCGCATGCATGCACAGTGGGACTCTTCCGGGTGACCTCTCATGTGCCAGCAGAGTGGCTCTGCATGCCACTTCCGGCACACGTAAGCATAGGTTCACCATCATGGAGCTAAACCATGTATGGTTTCATTAAGCTAGCCCAATTATCATCAGATTGTTTTCTGTCCCCCACATCTGACGCAGACTTTGTTAATCCGATGATGTCTGAGGTGGCATGATTCTTCTAGTTCGTGTCACTCTTGTTTCTGAGGCAGTCAGGTGAAGTATTAGGAGGCCTTTGCTCAAAGACAGCTATTGGTAAGCGAGGGTTCACACCCTGATATCCTATGTGAAAAGTGGCTCTCTAACCACTACACTATCCAGCTGGCACACACACACACACACACACACACACACACACACGAGAGAGAGAGAGAGAATGGGGGGAGGAAGGGAAAGAGAGAGGGAGCGAGAGAGACAGAATGAAAAGACAAACAGACATATCAGGCCTTCTCCCAGCAATATTTTTCTTTCTGGATGGGGGCGGGAGGGTTTTAATAGACCATGTGCAATATAAAATGTTCCAAAACAAAAATAGTATATCCAGGGCCTCCTACCTAACCTTTGTACATAGGTTGCATTCATACACAACGGATTTTAAAATAACACCTTGTTGCACAAGCTGTGGAGGCTTTTTCCGCATAGAATGCTAAGCCATAATGGGTTCATGCATCATGCTGAGCTGAAACCTGACAGAAACATAATGTAGCAAAATGTGTGAACCAGGCAATAGAATAAATATAACTGATATTTTGCATTATTTATCCTCTTTTCAAAAAGACAGACTCTATAAAATAATTAGGTTTCGACAGAGCAGGCTGGAAGGAAGGAAAGGCATTCTGGCTCCTGCTAAACAACAGTGTTTTGTGCAGGGTGGATGGGGCTGCATCAGCAGTTAAAAAATAAAAAGTGGAAGCCTACTAATGAGTTCTTTTGCATGCAAAGATATATCGCTCTGCTCTCCCCCGTCTGATAATTAGGGTTTGTATGTACAGAGATCTGGATCAGTTTAGAGACCACCAGTTATTGGTAATTCCTCAATATCATTTTTGTGTACCAGAAGTGTACACATCATTTTGAATTCTACATCTATTTTTCCCCTTCTTCCCAACCATCTTTAAATCCTGTGAATAAAATTATGACTCCTGTTTTCCTGTGGCATCTTTTCCTTTTCTCTCCCAGTCATCAGCTTCCAAGTTCACTTGTAGTTTCTGAGAAGTAGTTCCAATAAATCTCATATTACAATTTGAACGAGTAACCCACAACATCTTTTTCCATTTTAAAATGTTCATCCGATTGCATTTGTAAATACAGTGTGTCCATCTCTGTTGTCTCAAGAGGGATAAGTTCATAACTTCAGTAGTAACTCCTAGTTCCAGCAAAGTATTAAAAAATTCAAGCCCTTCACAGGCCCATAAATCAAATATTATCTTTAAAGTAGGCATTTTGTACTTTGATAATCAGTCTTCAAGGTTTTGTTTTACAGCTGATAATAAGGCAGCTTTCCCACCAAGAGGTTATTTCTATTCACCTTTTCCAAAAAGAAAAGTTATTTCTTTTCATTTAAATGCTTTAATCTTTTTAATTCTCAGTTTTTTGCAAGACAAGCAAAAGTCACTAAAATTCTCAGACATTTCTAAACATTTACCATTCTAGAAATAACAAAAACCACCAAAGAAACACTCACCTATATCTGAAGAAAGTCTTTTTTTAACTGAAGACGAAATTATAATCTAAAACTGTGTTTCTCAATCTTGGCAACTTTAAGATATGTGGACTTCAACTGAAATTTTCAGTGATGGCTGGGGAATTCTGGGAGCTGAAGTCCACATATCTTAAAGTAGCTAAGGTTGAGAAACACTGATCTTAAAAAATGTATCAGAATTGAGGAATGTTGGTTCTAGTGTCCATAATTTAGGCTGCATGACAGCTATTAACTTGATTTATTTATTTATTTGTCAAGCAATTATAAGATAACAGGTATAAGTATAAACATAGTTATGAATACATGAAATGGATACATATAAGAAAAATAGAAGAAACAATAGGACAGGGATGGTAGGCACGATTGGTGCGCTTATGCACGCCCCCTACAGACCTCTTAGGAAAGGGGTGAGGTCAATAGTAGACAGTCTGAGGGTTAAAGTTTTTGGGGTTTGGGGAAGAAACCACAGAGTCAGGTAGAGTATTCCAGACATTGACCACTCTGTTGCTGAAGTCGTATTTTCTGCAATCAAGTTTGGTGCGCTTAACCTTGAGTTTGTATCTATTGTGTGCTCTTGTATTGTTGTGGTTGAAGCTGAAGTATTCATTGACACTTAGGACATTGCAATGTATGATTTTATGTATTATACTTAGATCGGACCGAAGGTGGAGTAGTTCTAGGTTTTCTAGGTCTAGAATTTCAAGTCTGGCGGCATAAGGTATTCTGCAACGAGTAGAGGAGTGGAGAACTCGACTTGTGAAATATTTCTGGACTTTCTCAACTGTGTTAATATTAGATACGTAATGCAGGTTCCAGACTGATGAGCTGTATTCAAGTATTGGTCTAGCAAATGTTTTGTATGCTCTAGTTAGTAGTGTGATATTATCAGAGAAAAAGCTACGTAGGATTAGATTAACAACTCTTAGTGCCTTTTTGGCTGCATAAGGCTTTTTGATGAAAGAGCCTTCCTCCCTGCCACTCAACTCACCAGCCAAAGAAACCACCATTTCCATGACTTTCTCATGAGGAACAACAGAGGATAGATGGATCGATTTGAAGTTTCCTTCTTAAATCTGGAGGAAGAAACACTCCCCCCCCCCCCCCCCCCAGTAACTGTGGGGCAAAGCAAAATGTGATACCATCTCCAGTTAAACATCCATTTTCACCACTGAGTGCTGGAACCCCACACTTTCTTTTTTTCAACCACAGTTAAATCTGGGGTGTTATAAGCCAAGATTTTATCAGGTTATATTCAGAAATCCTGCAGTATTTTAACCAGTTTGGTGTAATGGTTTAGGCTTCAGGCTAGAAACCAAGAGACTATGGAGTTTACTCCAGTCGTAGGCACTAAGTTAACTGAATGACGTTGAGCTGATCACTTTCTCCTTGCCCAAGGAAGGGAAAATTGGAAATCACTTCTGGAAAACTTTGCCAAGAAAACTGCAGGGATTTGTCCAGGTTTGTCTCCAAGAATCAGACATAATTGAACGGAAGAAAATTATTCTTATGTAGCCCGATGTAGGAATAATTTTGGTATTGGATTTGTTTCAAGGCTCAGAATAACATCCCTTTCAAATACAGGTGGGCTTACTCAGACAGAAACTGGACAGCTTGCAAAAGTCAAAATATGAGATGGCTCAGAACTATGATGCTCAGCTTCAAGCCTTGAAAACCCAAGTAAGGAAAAAGTCAGATTCCTATTTTACGGTGCTTTAAATATTCCAAGATTAATTTAGTGATTTTGGAAAAATTATTGCCTAACTTTACCCGTACTAAGGGATTTTTATTCGCGGAACGAAAGAGGCCATGATGGAATCCTTACCAGCATTTGAGTTAATAATTTCCTTCTCATCAAAATGTCGGTTAAATGTACCCTTTTTTCCCAAAATTGGACTCGACTCTTTTTATCTACAGAGACTTGGTTTGATTCATATGTTTGATTAATTGCTAATTGTGGACCACGGCTAGGATTCACCCCAGTCTGTTCCAATAAAACCAATCAAACCATGGTCCGAATCCAGTCACTCTTTATTCTTGAAGCTCAAGTGCTCAAACAGACTAGATGAGGAATGAGATTGTGGGAATGCGGAAAATGGGTTTGTTCTGGAAAGCAATCCACCTGTCCATTGTACTTGGATTGTGCTTTAAGAAATGATTATATACGCCCACCATGTTCCTCTATTTGCCTGAACTTTTTGGTGGCTGACATATACAACCCTTCAAAGGCAGCATCTAATTTTGTCCATTAAAATCCAGCAATTCCCATTCAACACTTGGGGTGTAAGGAATAGAGATGATATGTTCTTTTGATGGGGCATCTGGGAGTAGGAAGTACTATACTGGTAGTCACCATTCACTTAGTGACTATTTGAAAATCTGGCTCATAGAATCACCAAAAATCAGAGACTGGGTGGATTATTTGAAAAAAGTAACTTATTACTGTTGCAGCATCCCTATGGTCATATGATCAAAATTCAAACACTTGGCAACTGACTTGTATTTATGACAGTTGCAGTGTCTTGGGGTCATGTGATCACCTTTTGAGATCTTCTAAAAAGCAAAGTCAATGGGGAAGCCAGATTCACTTAATACTAGCTTAACAACTTCAGTGATACGCTTAACAACTGTGGAAAGAAAGGACATCAGATCGGGAAAAATTAACTTAACAACTTTCTTAGCCATGGAAATTTTTGATGTAATTTTGGTCATAAGTCGAGGATTACCTGACTGCATTTCTCTCACCACCTGTATGCAATCTTTCTTTCGCCTTCCCAGAACAATCAGTAGCCCTCTGAACAATGTATTTTTTTCCCTTTTGAATGTAACCTCCCTGTGCTTGCACTCATTTGCTTTGACACTGAATGTCATATTTAATGACCGTATTCTTAGATCCATAAATGGCAAGACCAAACTACTGTATATATTTTACTTAAGAACCTCACTTAACACATACGATTTTTATTGGTCCGAGTTGCTTAGCTGTAAGTTTAGAATCGGAATCACAGTATTCAGGTAGAGGCATGAATGATTATCAAAGAGAATCATTTTTTGTGATCTAAGTAAAAAAAAAATTCCCCCCAATGCTACACTTTTTCACCTAGGGAAACCTCTATTAGATCTCTTAAATATTAGTTTATGCTAGTTAACCCAATTCTTTGATTCTGAAGAAAGATTAAGTCTGCCTGCAGAAGATGGCGCTAAATTAATGCAAAACAGTTCCTACAAATAACTAGATAGAATACATAGAAGGTACAATAAACCAAATAAACACTGTTTAATCATGCAGTTAATTGATACCACAAACTGTGTGAAAGTTCACCTGTGTTCAGTCTTAACTGCTTAGTTGCAATAGGTGGTACAATAAAAAAAGAAGTCTAGCTAATTATAATATTCAAGCTTAACTGCCTTAGCTCATCCTACCGTCAGCTTTTAAGAAAGAAATGATATATTCTTGACATTCATTTATTTTTAGTTTGCTAAGCTGACACAAAGCTATGAAAAGTTACAGTTGCACCAATTAAAACAAAACAAAACTCACAGCATGGAGAAATGCATGGAAAACCAAGAAGCACCTTTCCAGATGAACTGTTTAAACCAGAAGTTGGAGGTAAGGATCTCTATTTGAAGGAGTGCTTCTTTCGCAAACCTTGTACTCTTAAGATCAAGAGATGGGACAGGAAGGGAAAATATTATTATTTGTGTTTGGAGACCTGCAAGAATCGGTCTTCTTTCACCTTTAATCAGGTGTGGCATTCTTTGGATATGCCATGAGAAAAATTGATTGTAGCTTTTGTTTATTTGTTTTCTTTGAAGACTCAGAAAGTGAGTGCATGTTTTATACAACCTTTGATGGCAAATTGAGGGGCTAATGACATGGGTTTTATAGTTTGTTAACTAACATAATTACTTTGTATTTTAGTTTGATTTATTTTTCTCTTTTAAAATGATGTTCAGATTTATTAGCTTTTAACATTCCTAAACTGATAAACAAGCTGGAGACTAGCTCCAGGTAAGAAAAGTACAACCTGGACTCTGGCTTATCTCTTTCGTGAACTCTAAACAACCCTTTTCCTTACAACTACCCCCCCCACCCACCCACGTCAGACCTCATTTTAATGAACTTGTGTGATATTATGGGATGCAAATATGTAACATGTTTGATTACACGTAACTGATTTCCTATGCAAAGGGGAGGTTACTTTTATTCTGTCCAAACAACTTTTCTCTTGCGTTTTCTTTGTTCTTTTAACTATAAAAAGGAGGGGAACATGGGGTTTGAGGTTGTCTCTTCCTTTTACATAGAGAGAGACCCCACCTTATCAGGGTACCCTAATAAACTGCTTTTAAATGATCTTCCAACTCAGTTGTTTATTGGGACGGTAAACTGAGACAGAACCTAGAGCCAGATTCGGCTTTCAGAACCAGAAGGGTAAGCAACTGATTTGTGTCACAGAAACTTGATGCAGGCAGAGGAAGGTCTGCCTCTTCCACCGGTTCTGATTGCCCCTTTGATGGGCAAGCCACAGGGTGGAGTAGAACAAGGGAGACACCTGACATCAGGTGTACCATGACATCATACCGTGACATTTGGTCACCACACTATAAAAAAAGATGTTGAGACTCTAGAAAAAGTGCAGAGAAGAGCAACCAGGATGATTAGGGGACTGGAGGATAAAACATATGAAGAACGGTTGCAGGAACTGGGCATGGCTAGTCTAGTGAAGAGAAGGACCAGGGGAGACATGATAGTGGTCTTCCAATATTTGAGGGGCTGCCACAGAGAGGAGGGGGTCAATCTATTTTCCAAGGCACCCGAAGGGCAGACAAGGAATAATGGATGGAAACTGAACAAGGAGAGATTTAACCTGGAAATAAGGAGAAACATTCTGACAGTGAAAACAATCAACCAATGGAACAGAAGTTGCCCTCGGAAGTTGTGGGAGGGCCATCACTTGAGACTTTCAAGAAGAGATTGGACTGCCATGTGTCAGAAATGGTGTAGGCTCTCCTGCTTGGGCAGGGAGTTGGACTAGATTAGGGGGCTGGACTAGATTACCTATAAGGTCCCTTCCAACTCTGTTAATTTGTTATCTGTTATCTGACTTTGAGAAATCAGGGCTAGATATCACTTTGGAGCCAGAGGCAAAAAAATGTGCTTTCAATTGTCAGGAACCATCAACCAAGCATATTTTTTTCTAGGAAGAAATGGCTTTATGACAGCCCAGGCTGGTGTAGTGGTTAAAGTTCCAGACCAGGAGAAACCAGGACACTGTGACTTCTAGTCCTCCATTGGGCATGAAGCCAGCTGGGTGACTTTGGAACAGCTCACTCTCAGTACACTTGGAAGAGTGGTCACCACAATATAGAAAAGATGTTGAGACTCTGGAAAGAGTGCAGAGAAGAGCAACAAAGATGATTAGGAAGCTGGAGGCTGAAGTATGTGTAGAAAAGTCGCGGGAACTGGGTTAATCTGTATCACTTGGACAATGATATCATGAAGCACATGATTGTAGCATCTGTCATACACCTGTGGTCCTGTCCGATCACTTAAAAGCATACCAAGATATGACAACCGGGGCTTAGACATAGGTATTTTTAGGAAAGGGGACCTCTCAGCTGCCAGCTTAAGTTGGGAACAACAGATTTATAGCCTACCAATAAAGAAGAACTCGGGGCTGACACGAGGGCTCCTCGGTGCTCTCTGAGCTTGGTTGTTTTCTGGCAGACGTTTCATTACCCAAACTAGGTAACATCATCCGTGCTAGTAAGGTGTGAGGTTTGCTCCCGCTTCTTACTACTAGAAACGACTTACTAGCACGGATGATATTCCCTAGTTTGGATAATGAAATATCTGCAAGAAAACAACCAAGCTCAGAGAGCACCGGGGCCCCTTCAAATTTATATGCCCCAACTGTATAAAAGATTGCTTAATACATTATTTGGATATCTGCAGTTTGAAGGGAGAGATTCTCTCAACGGATTCTAAGCACAGGGAGACATTGACGAGTATTGCTCACCGAGCTTCTTCATCCACTAGTGTTTAATTGCTAATTAGCTGCTGGGTCTAACTGCTGGAGCCATCCTTGTGTCACAGAATCTGCATTTTGCCAAGGCGAAATGTGCAAGTTTCCCCAGAGTTGCTTCAAAAGACAATGATTTCAGAGCAGAGTGCGTGTATTTCTCTTCCCCGTGGCAGAAAGAGCTGAAGGAAATGCCCTTTTCAAAGGCAGCTTTGTCTTTTCTTCTGTGAGGGATGAAAGAATAAGCTTTTGCATTTGTTCTTAGCTTGAAAGCAAAGCGGGGAGGAGGTGGGGTGGAGAGCTGTTTACAGGCTTCTGAGGAAGCCAGCAAAAAGTATAAGACGGCAGAACGTTACTGCAGAAAAGAACGATAGAAAAACCCATTCAAGGGTGCGGTTTGAGTGTACTTGTCATGGGCTAGGGAGAGAGAGAAATGATTCTATTATATATGCATCAACTTATTTGAGCTGTGATACCAGAGAAGGCTTCTGCATGTTCCTTGGACGGCAAAGGTGACCAGCAAACAAGTCCTGGAGCCCATAACACCAGGCATGTCACTGGAAGAAAAGAAGAAGAAAAACCACAAAACTGTGGTCTCACTTACTTTGGCCATGTCATGCAGGGCAATTCATTGGAGAAAGCAATTATGTTTGGAAGAGTGAGTGGTAAAAGAAAGCCAGGCTGCCAAAGAACATGGTGGCTGGACACCATCAAAGCTGATACCAGCCAGAGTATAGAACAACGATGAGAAGTAGTGCAAGATTGAAAGATACTGAGAGATCTGGAGAATCGCCAAAAATCAGAGATGACTGGATGGATATCATCATCATCATCTCCCTTCCTGTCATTATCCCTACTGGATGTGGATGTGGTAGTTTCTGGAATGATGTTCAAAATCTCAAAACAAATGTATTGTGGGAATTGATATTGGAGATACCTTTTGAACTCCATTTGTAAACATCATGATGGATATGTCAACCACCTATGGCTCTCTGTGTCACTATCTCAACAGACTTATCCTGGTGTTTTCCACTGATGGCAAATCTGGAGGTTTAGAATTAAGAACTTTTTCCTGATTCTACTGACCCGACCAGTCTTCTTCTTCTTCTTCTTCTTCTTCTTCTTCTTCTTCTTCTTCTTC